AGACAGAACCTAGCCAGTGCGCAGCTGCAGGGGTGCAGAGCACCCGCTATCCAAGCTGCACAACGATCAGCACACTGTCAAGCTGCGAGAAGGCCCTGGGGCTCATGGTCACAAACAGATACATTTTGAGCTTCTTGCTTTTCACCAAAGGGTATGTTATAAAAATATATAAAGCTGGACTGGAAGTTATCTTACTGACTCATAGACGCCAAATATTAAGGTAATTTCAAAGCCTAATTTCCAGGCTTTATTTTACTGCCAGCCTCCAAGGACAATTCTTTTCCTAGCAACTGTTTCAAACAGAGAAACCAAAAAATACTTTACAATGATTGCATGGGCAAGACTGCATTAGGTGCTACACACACACTCGTCAAATAAGAATTATGCATAGTTTTTTCACAGTGAAAAAGAAGAGGATTTGTAGTTACAACCACCAACCCTCTTAGTGTTTACATCCTTGGTTTGCACAGGAGATTGTCTAGAAAGCTCCATAACGACACCAGAGCCTGCTATAATCACAGGGGGCCTCCAACTTTCAGTCTTTTCTTTTTAAAAGGGCTGGTGTTCCCTCTTTCTAGTCACGATCTGACAAATTTTAAATCCAGTTTTCTTCTAATAGCAGAACTAATTCTACTGCACTTAAGGACTCTGCCTAATGTACTTTTGTAATAGAACAAGTTGAGTTGAAAACAAAAGCAAGATGCAAAAATGATGTGCTCTCACTATTTCAACTAAATGATATGCTCAAATCTCTGATAGAATGTACTTAATGTTCTGAACTAGGACTTTAGAAAATCATGTCAAAGAATCCAATCAGAACTTAAAAGAGTATAGAAATGGCAAATATGAAAAAAATCAGAGACAAAAGTATGAGATGTAAAAGTTATGCATTTGAACATGCAGGAGAAAGAGGCAGAATAAAGAGAAAAAATAAAGAGACAATTTCTCTGAACAATAAATGTAAAAAAGAAAAAGATAGTGTTAGGCAATGTCTTTCTTTTTTTTTTTTTTTTTTTTTTTTTGAGACAGAGTTTCACTCTTGTTACCCAGGCTGGAGTGCAATGGCGCTATCTTGGCCGATCGCAACCTCCACCTCCTGGGTTCAGGCAATTCTCCTGCCTCAGCCTCCTGAGTAGCTGGGATTACAGGCGCCCAGCTAATTTTTTGTATTTTTTTTTAGTAGAGGCGGGGTTTCGCCATGTTGACCAGGATGGTCTTGATCTGCTGACCTCGTGATCCACCCGCCTCGGCCTCCCAAAGTGCTGGGATTACAGGCTTGAGCCACAGCGCCCAGCCCAGGCAATGTCTTTCTGATTTACCTTATTTCTGTCTAGCCTAAAACTCTTTAGAGATTTCCTACTCCTGGAAGTCCATCAAAACTCCTCCTATGGGGGACAAGGCCCCAGTGCTATAGTTCCTACTCACTTCTCCAAATCTCTCTCACACTGGTTCTTCCCTCCAACCTACTACCAGCCTCACTAGGCTCCAAGCAGCCCTGTACTCCCTTCTGTTCTTCAAAAATACAAGTCCTTTTATACCTTTGGGTTTTTATGTTCACTATTTTCTCTGCCCAAAGTGTTCCAACCATTTATCCCATGACTGGCTCTTTCTCATTTATCAGGTCTCAATTCAAATATGTCACCTCTTAAAGAGGCCCGTCCCACTGTTCTATCTAAAATGACCTCAATGAGTTATTTACCATCTCAATACTCTATTTACCTAACTTAATGGCTGTTCAGATGACTTTTAGCTATAAAAAGGTTATACCACCTTTATAACGAATCTTTTGGTTTCTTGTATTTAGTAAAATAATTTTTTTCAGCAAAAAACACTCTAAATCAATATGCTATAAGATGTGTGATGTCTCACTATTATGATTTAAGGTAAAGACACACTAAAAAATCTTATTTACCATAATAGTTTCTGGTCACAGAATATCACGTGGAACAAATCTGAATTGTGTGCCATGTTTGGATAGACCCAAAACAATCTTTTTTGCATAAATACACCAAATGAGGGAGAGAAAAGGTAGTATCTTCAATAGCTCTTTGTATGCATGAACTATTTTCCCAAGATCTCATGTTGAGCCTTTACCCTGTCCTAAGATGTTTTCATGTTTCTATAACTTTATTTACAGTTTTAGTTTTAGTGTGCAATTAAAATGAATCAACAAAGGCCTGAAAATTTTGTGGGGAAAAATTGTCCAGAAATAAAGAAGCTGAATTAAATTCCATGATATTAGTTTATGTACAATATGCCTTTAAATTGTTACTTACAGTAATTTGTTTTCAGTATTTAATTGACATATTTTCCACCTGAGAAAACTACTCAAGTATCATGGGCTGGGATGAAACACACCATAATTTTTCTCATTAATGTTGGTGAAAATAATTTTTTCATCTAATGGTCTTTCACTTGGCAGCAGGGTATTTAGGAATAATTTAAATTAATTAAACAAGGAGTAGTTATATTTGCTTCACTACCAACTGTAACTACATTGTATATTCATTTGTTTACTTGTTTATAATCTATTTCCATCACTAGATTATAGTATCCTTAAGGGGAGAAATTTCATTATGTTTTTCCTGCTGTGACATGATCTAATTTACACTTTAAGAAGATTCCTGATTTCTGAGTAGCAAATGTGTTCCTGGGGGCAAACGTGGAACAGAAGTCTATTGAGGTACTTCAGGTAAAAGCTAAAGATTTAGAGTAGGATATTAGCAGTAGAGACAAAAAAATAAGCAAATTTGGGATATGTTAGTATTTCAGAAGTAGAAATATTTGATCAGTTAAAATAAGAAATCAAGTTAGGTTTCCAGCTTGAGCTGATGATGGTGCCACTGACTAAAATGGCTAAGACTGCAGAAGGAACAGATCTGAGGAGCAAGAAGAGACAACAGGGTTTCATTTTCCAATATAGTAAGTCTGAAATGCCTGTTAGGCAGCCAAATGGGAATGTTGTCAAGGCCACAGGATACCAAGTCTAGATCTAACCCAAAAGAGAGATGAATAATGGCTAGAACTACACACTGGGAATCATTAGCAAAGAGTTATCATTTAAAGCATTTGAGCAGGGTTACATCACTAACAGAGAATAAAAACAGTGAAGAGGAGACCTGGGCCCTAGGATATGCCAACATGATAAATAGGTTTCCTTCTTCTAGCATCCTCTCTTGTTAATTACTTCATTAAGGATTTTTTCAATGACAGCATAATATTATCATCAAAAACATTATGACCAATATAGACTTTAACTTTCACATTTGACCATACTTGCAATATTCAGACTGTAATCGTCAATGCAAACAATCTTTAAAGTCTTCTTCAAAAAAAGTAAATGCCAGAGACTAACTCCAAACCTCCATTTATGGAGTGATAAAGGAATGGGAACTAAAGAATAAGAAATAAAAAAGCTTGGGCCGGGCATAGTGGCTCGTGCCTGTAATCCCAGTACTTCAGGAGGCTAAGGTGGGCAGATCATAAGGTCAAGAGATGGGGACCATCCTGGCCAACATGGTGAAACCCCGTCTCTACTTAAAATACAAAAAATTAGCTGGGTATGGTGGCACGCGCCTGTAGTCCCAGCTACTTGAGAGGCTGAGGCAGGAGAATCGCTTGAATCCAGGAGGTGGAGGTTGCAGAGAGCTGAGTTGCGCCACTGCACTCTAGCCTGGCGACAGAGCGAGACTGCATCTCAAAAACAAACAAACAAAACTCTATTTTGAAGGTAACAGAAATAATACCACAAAATACAAGAATAACAGTGCTTTCGAAATAAACCATACCCAAACAATGAATACCTTAGATTTTATAAGTATTCTTTTTTTCCTTAGAGTTGTAACTACTTAGTCTGAAATACACAAATGATCATGTTATGAAAACACGCAAGATCAGGGATCTTGCATATAGCAAATCTCTTCCTACTGTTTCTGATTTCTATAGAAATCGACAGTGGTAACTGCTAGAAAAATAAGGAGGAGATACTTAAGACACTTTCTATTCAGAGAAGAGAAGTGAAAAACTTCTGGCATTCAAGGTGAAGACTGGTTGCACTGAAGTCAACTTATACTTCTGGAACTAAGTTTTGATGTGGGTAAACAAAATCTTTCTAACGCTCACTTATTCCATCTGACTTCCTGCAACGTATCATTGTCTTGGTTTAATCCAAAGAACAGTAACTAAATTATATTAGTAACTAGTTTTCCTATTATTTGACTATAAATTCACACACTAAATTTTTACTCCAACATTATTTATATTACTAAATTAATCACACTCTCTTTAATATGAAGCTACTTTACTAGGTGGAAAAACAACTGACACTATCTTTGGAAATACATTCTTTACATATATGGCTAACAAATATTTAAAGTGTCAAGTATAGGTAAACGCTACCCAACAAAGCTAAACATAATCTATCAACTTCACAAAAAGGAGAGAAACCACAAAAATCAAGTAAGTACCAGATATTAACTCCAAACCTCCCTAAAGTCCAACTTGGTCTCATTTTACTTAAGAAGCCCAAGGCAATTTATGGTAGTCAAGTTCCTGTGTATGAGCCTCTTCATCATTATCATCCATGATAGTCTGCACACAGATATAATAGAACCCATCAACCCCACAATTTCTATTAAAGACAACTAAGCAAAACAATTATTGTAGGTATAAAAATACATTTTATGCATGGAAAATGGAAGGCAAGAGGGTCATCATACCTTGACCCGGAAGACACAAAAAATAAGGCAGTATCACAAAAAAAAAGAGCACCATCATGTTACAAAATTGACCCACTATTACATTTTCACTCACACCAAAAGAATCAGAGGTTAATTATCAGCAGGATGTAAAGATTTTGTTATTATATCTCAACTAAGTTTTCAAGCCACAAAATCAACTCTTTTGAATCAGTGATATAATCATTGACCTGAAAACACATTTTAGTTCCTAAAATTTTGCTAAATATTCTTAGAAGTGTTTGAGAGCTTAATTACTCTTACCTTTGCAGACACTCAAAATCATACCGCCTGAACTTTGCACTTCATCAAATTTGGCAAATATCATTTCTAATCTGGGAATAAAGAATAAATTGTGTTTGATATTTTTTTACATATAGATTAAACAGAAACAATTTCCTTTACCATTCCCTTAGAAAAAACAGTTGCAGGGATTCAGCTACTTTTCTATACAACTCTCTTTCACAATTAACTCACTTACTAAAAGAAGACACAAAACCCATATCTCTTCAGTTGAAAGAAGTCAAATATAGGTAGGACTCTACATACTTACAGGTGAAAAGACAATTTTTACACAAAGCAATTTCTCATCATTCATCATAAAATCATTTCTCCAAGGAGGCTGAGGCAGGAGAATTGCCCGAACCCAGGAGACGGAGGTTGCGGTGAGCTGAGATCACGCCATTACACTCCAGCCTGGGTAAACAAGAGCAAAACTCCGTCTCAAAGAAAAAAAAAAAATCATTTCTCTACATCTATCAAAAATATTCTAGTTCCAACCTCATAAGTGTACCAAGGCATCTTTTAAAGGCACATAAAAGCCATGCCAAAGTAACTTAAGGCAAACATAAAAACAATGAAATATAAAATATCAAAAACTAAAAAGACAGCTAATATCACTGATAGTCTGATGCTGTCCCTGTTAACATGACTATTTTTATACAAAAACAATTCCACTGGCGCTTCTAATTTTAAGTTCAGGGTAACTACACTTTCTACACTTACTGCTATCACTTTTCTTAGTTAAAAATGTGTTTATTATGAAAGTAATATACGTTCATTATAAAAGAAAATTAGGAAATATAAATAGGAACAAAGAAAAAAACACATTTCTATCCATCAGAGAACATATTTATTAACTGTATCCCTCTGATACTTTTCTATTCATATACAAATTTTCTTCAGAGTGAAATGGGATCATGCTGACAGCACTTGTTTTTTTTTAGTTTTTCTTTTCCTTTCCAATATATTGTGCTATGATTTATTCCTAAATTCGTAACTTAGAGAATTGGGGAAGGGAGGAGGGTCACCGTCATATTGCCTTTAGTTGCCAAATGTTCTCCTATGACTTATATATACATATCTGTCACAATTTCATTTCCTAAAACCTTACTTAAGCCTTGGTCCTCATGGTGGTCATTTTTTACCAATAAATTAAAGATATACATACTTTTTGAAATAAATCATTGGCTTATTTCGGTAAGAACTAAAGGCTTTTTTAAATTTAAAATCTCAGAAGAATTAATTATAATAGGATTTCTAAACCTTAACATCACCTCCTACTTCCAATAAATTCAACAAATACAACTATTTACGTATCTGAAAGCATTTCAGTTCAAAGACACAGGTTCCCTTTATCCTACAGAGTAGTATTTTCTGGCGGGTTGGACACACACCAAGCAGGTTGCCCAGAGATAAGAGGTGGACATGAGATAGGAGGAAGCATTAGAATTAGAAGCTGGAACCTCACAAAGGAGGCCAGGTGTGGAGGCTCATGCCTATAATCCCAGCACTTTGGGAGGCCGAGCAGGGCAGATGACCTGCACTCAGGAGTTCAAGATCAGCCTGGCCAACATGGCAAAACACATATCCCTACTAAAAATACAGAAATACAAAAATCAGCCAGGCGTGGTGGCACACACTTGTAGTCCCAGCTACTAGGGAGGCTGAGGCACAAGAATTGCTTGACACTGGGAGGCAGAAGTTGCAGTAAGCCTAGATCCTACCAGTGCACACTCCGGTCTGGGTGACAGAGAGAGATTTTGTCTCAAAAAAAAAAAAAAAGAGAGAGAGAGAGGATTTAGGAGAGAGTTGTTTGAAAAAAAGCAGAACAAGACATGAAGGGGCATAAGATTAACACTCAGCTATAGATTAGGAGAACAGCAGTAGAAAACTCAGGACAGAACACTTGGAAAGAGAAACGGGTTGGCAAGGAATTAAGGTAAGGTAGATAATACATGGAGACAGGAATGAAGATGTAAGCAGCTTTAGCGGAATAGGGGTCAAATGAAATAGTAGGCAAATATAATAGGAATATGGGAGAGAGGAGGGGAAGGGAAAGGAAGAAAAAAGGGGTCAGAGTAGAAGGTATCACCCAAAGGTCTTTTGGGCCTGGACTGGGCTAAGAAAGACACACGGAGGAGATGATTACCTTAAGCATTCATCTTGCTGCCAGCTCTCCAGTTACTCTACATACTCTTCCTATGATTGTTCTACTCTCTCTTCTCAGTCTCTCTTTTCTTCTAATGCTTCCCACTTAAGCAATTTTCAATAAAATTAACATCTGACTTTTGTTTAGTATTTATTAAAAATATTTTAGTCACCTGCTCAAAATTTTATAAAGGATGAATTCATAACTTCTTATCTTTAACGCAAACAAAACAACAAACACAGTATAATTTTCTATGTGGTCCTCACTGGATCCCTCCAACCCCATCATTAAAGTCTACACACTTATTTTAGAAAAACAAACGTAATTATAATAGATGATTACTGTACCTATAATTTGGTGAAAAAAGGAAGAAATAAACAATTTAAGAGCAGAGAAAACAGTCTAAGCTATTTTAAGTAATTCAGGGGAAAAAATTAGGAAATTCAATGGAAGAAAAATACAACAGAGACTGGATTGTCCAAAAAATTATAAACACAACTTAGGAGATCTATAGAGTTCTAGGAAGGTTCTGACTTAGGATAAGGATAGAGGCCAGTAAAGCATTAGGAAAGTTATGAATCATAGGGTAAGGAGGACAGAATTAGAAAAGCAACTCTAACCAGAGTCCAGATTTAAAAGTTTAGAATAAGAATAATAAATCCCAAGTACAACATGAAAGAGACAGTTAGGTATCTCAGACTATATCTTTTTAAAATAACAGCGTTATTGAGATAGAATTTAGATACCATACAATTCACCTCTTTAAAGTGTACAATATAATGATTTTTAGTACATTTGCAGTTATGCAACCACAATAATCCCTTTTAGAACATTTTCAATCACCCCCAAAAATAACCACATACGCATTAGCAATCATTCCCCATTTACCCTGATCTCTCTAGTCCTAGGCAAACACTATACTTCCTTTCTCTAAAGATTATATATAGCCTATGAGTTGCCATATATCTGGCCATTTCATATAAATGGAATCACAATATGTGGCCTTTTGTGAGTGGCTTCTTTCATGAATGTTTTCAAGGTTGATGCATGATGTTTCAGTCATCCCCGTTATGACCAAATAGTATTTCATTGCATGGATTTACCACATTTTGTTTATCTACTCACCACGTAATGGACATACCTATATGTGGGGTGTCTCTATTTTTTGGCTATTATAAATAATGCTGTTATGAACACCTGTGTGTAGGTTTTTGTGAAGAATGTTTTCATATCACTTGCATATATAGCTAGGAATAGAATTACTAGGTTATATGATAGTTCTATGCTTGACTTTTTTTTTTTTTTTTTTGAGACAGAGTCTCACTCTGTCACCTAGCGCCAGGCTGGAGTGCAGTGGCGCGATCTTGGCTCACTGCAACCTCCGCCTCCCAGTTTCAAGCAATTCTCCTGCCTCAGCTTCCTGAGTAGCTGGGACTACAGACGCGCACCACCACGCCCAGCTAATTTTTTTTTATATTTTAGTAGAGACGGGGTTTCACTATGTTGGCCAGGTTGGTGTCAATCTCTTGACCTCGTGATTCACCCGCCTCGGCCTCCTAAAGTGCTGGGATTACAGGCATGAGCCACCACGCCCGGCCTATGCTTGCCATTTTAAGGAATTACAAACTGTTTTCCAAAGTTGCTGCACCATTTTACATTCCCAACAGCAATGTATGAGAGTTCCAATTGCTCTACATCCTCAATACTTGCTATTGTCTATCATTTTCTATTTGTCTATCATTTTTTATTTTAGTCATCTTGGGGCATATAATAGTTTTGATCTTATATCCCTCATGGTTAAATGGTGTTAAACATCTTGTTATGCACTACTGTCATTTGTATATTCTTTTAAAAGAAACTCAACTCTCTTTTCTGTTTTTAAAATTGGGTTATCTGTCCTTTTACTACTGAGCTGTAAAGAGCCTTTTATAAATTCAAGATATGTATCTTATAAGATATTTTATTTCAGCCAAGTACAGTGGTTCATGCCTATAATCCCAGCACTTTGGGAGGCAGAGGTAGGCAGATCACTTGAGGTCAAAGGTTCAAGACCAGCCTGGCCAACATGGTGAAAGGCCATCTGTTCTGAAAATACAAAACATAGCCAGGTGTGGAAGTATATGCCTATAATCCCAGCTACTCGAGAGGCTGAGGCAGGAGAATCACTTGAACTTGGGAGGTGGAGGTTGCAGTGAGCTGAGATCGTGCCACTGCACTCCAGCCTGGGTGAAAGAGTGAGATTGTCTCAAAAAAAAAAAAAAAGAAAAGAAAAGAAAGAGAAATTTGATTTGCAAGTATTTACTCCCATTTTATGGGGTTTCTTTTTTTTTTTTTAGACGGAGTTTCGCTCTTTTTACCCAGGCTGGAGTGCAATGGCGCAATCTCGGCTCACCGCAACCTCCGCCCCCTGGGTTCAGGCAATTCTCCTGCCTCAGCCTCCCGAGTAGCTGGGACTACAGGCACGCACCACCGTGCCCAGCTAATTTTTTGTAATTTTTAGTAGAGACGGGGTTTCACCATGTTGACCAGGATGGTCTCGATCTGTTGACCTCGTGATCCACCCGCCTCGGCCTCCCAAAGTGCTGGGATTACAGGCTTGAGCCACCGCGCCCGTCCCTATGGGGTTTCTTTTACTTTCTTGATGGTGTTCCTTGAAGCAAAAGTTTTAGTTTTGATGATATCCAACTTATCTATTTTTTTTCCCCATTGGTTGTTGTGTTTTTGGTGCTTTATCTAAGAAACCACTGCCTGGAGCTTTCTAAGAGTTTTATTATTTTGGCTCTTACATTTGGTTCTAAGGTCCATTTTGAGTTAATTTTTGGGTGTGGTGTGAGAAAGAGACGCAACTTCATTCGGATATCCAGTTTATAAAGCACCATTGACTATTCTTTCTTTCCCTACTGA